GATTGAATGATTAAAAAAAAAGGTTCTCTTACTTTAAAAGTACAAGACTATTGAAAGATTTTTTACAAGCTCTAATGAATCTTGTACAATGAATTAAGAGTTGAGGTTCTTGGTCAATAGGCTGACCACATATTAACTTTTTTGATTGATAGCCACAGGTAGACTCAGCTTTACCTGCACTGTAGGTCTTAAGGTTTGATTAAAAAACTTAAGTGAAAAATGTTTAGATCTGTTTTACTCTCTGTGCTTAAAATCTTTTACAGCCTCTAACATTGTTGTGATGTGATTTTATGCTGAGATTTAGACAGCTTTTATATTCGTTTATTTAGGTATGACCCACATACTAATCAGTGGAGCTCTGATGTGGCCCCAACAAGTTCCTGTAGAACCAGTGTTGGTGTCGCTGTCCTGGGAGATTTCCTTTATGCTGTTGGTGGCCAAGATGGTGTCTCATGTTTAAATTATGTTGAACGGTAAGCAATAGGTCTTAAGTATTCTATGAAATAATATGGAGTCAGAAATGTAATTTGGGGGCTTTAAATAGATATCTGAAGCATTGCAAGAAGTGAAGATGTTTGTTACATCATGCAGATAAAGAACATAGGTTAAAAAGTAACTTAAAAATTGAATTTAAAATTTAGTACTAGTTTAGTCTGTTTAATCAGAGAAAAAAAATTAACACTTTATCTTCATATAAACAGAGGCGCGGTGGCTGAGTGGTAAAGCGCTTGGCTACTGAACCGGGGTTTGAATCCTGGTGAAGACTGGGATTTTTACTTTCGGGATCTTCGGGCGTCTCTGAATTCACCCAGCTCTAATGGGTACCTGACAATAGTTGGGGAAAAGTAAAGGCGGTTGGTCGTTGTGCTGGCCACGACACCCTCGTTAACCGTAGGCCACAGAATAAGATGACCTTTACATCATCTGCCTTATAGACCACAAGGTCTGAAAAGGGAACTTTACTTTACTTTTACTCCATATAAACATGTTAAAGTAATATCTGATACAAATGTAATATACTTTATAATTCAGTCATTTACAAGTTATCTTGTTTTACTCATTAAAATAAACAATTATAACTAGATAATAATTCTTATGGTTTTATGCAATTGTATATATCACAACACATTTCTTTAAAAAAAAAATAACTACCTGCTCCTTATCATTTTTCTTAAAGCTAGCATTATTTTGAATATTCATACACCTGATATGACTGACCAATTCATAAAGATTTTCTGTGTTTGTTTAGATATGATCCACAGTCCAATAAATGGCAGAAGGTTGCATCAATGAGTACAAGGAGGCTAGGGGTGGGGGTGGCTGTCCTGCAAGGTTTCCTCTATGCTGTTGGTGGGAGTGATGGAACTTGTCCACTCAACACAGGTCAGGCTCTTTGTTTCATGGTCTGCTGGCCTAGAGGCAGGGAAACCTCAAATTAGAAGCATTATTTGTTACTGGGGCATGCTTCTTAACCAGACTGCTTTTATATCAAATTTATTTAAATTAAAAAATATATATTTCTTCTGAAACCAAAGATAGCCATACAAATGTCATTTTTATAGAAAATATAGCTACTTTCTTTTTAACTTCTCCATTATAATTAAAACATTTCATTGTATAATCTATTGTAATTAATGATGATTTGAAATATTGTACAAAAGAAACCAGGTAATATATTTCTGTTGTTGAAAGTAATGAAATTTTCACCCTAATATTTCTAATTATATCACAACTGAAAATTAAATGGAAATAAACATTGCTAAGAATTAAGTTCCATTGTTATATGAAAACAAACTTTACTAAAGAAACCAGAATTTTTCATACTGACATAAGAAAACATTAATCTCTTATGTGTTCAAAGTTCAATTCACCAACCCACCCTAAACACTTACACTACCCTTTTTGTTAATGTTTTAAAAGAAAAATTAGCTTATACTATCTTGAAAATTAATATGTACCATGACAATTCATTAGTCAGGGAAGTTAATTGAGATGTATCAAGCTCAGTCTGGAGTTACAGCAGTAACCAAATTTAATGGTTGTAAATGCTTACTTGGATCTTTTGATTATTATTAAATGTTAAATGTTTTAATTTAACAGTTGAAAGATTCGACCCTCGAAACAACAGGTGGACTCCGGTAGCTCCCATGGGGACCAGGCGGAAACATTTAGGCGTGGCAGTGTTTCAGAATATGATATTTGCAGTGGGAGGCCGTGATGACACCACCGAGCTTAGCAGTGCTGAGAGGTACAACCCACAGAAAAATGCCTGGGAGCCTGTTGTGGCTATGACATCTAGAAGAAGTGGAGTAAGTTACAACTTGTTAATCTTTGTGTGAATTTTGTTGTGATTCTCTAAATAAAAATTCGGTTAAAAAAAAATTAAATTTCACATTTTCTTGTAACAATAAGTTGAGTTTTTTAATTCTGTGATTCTTTTTGCTGGTCATCCTTTACAAATAAGCTTCTGGCACCTAAGATAGAATCCCTTTATGGGTAGGAGCTAATGTCAGCCTTATGGCTACTTCATAGGATTTCTCCCAGCATTGAGGTATTATCTAAGTTTCTTTGCCCCTACTTCTGTCTAAAGGTTTGGGTCATACCATTTAATGGATTTCTTTTGTCCTTGGTCAGGTTACAGACCATTTATCAATAACCCTGTTTACACTGCATTACCCTGTAATCCAAAGATATAAAATACTTTATAGGGGAAATACCATAATTATTAAAAGGAAGTGATTTGTCTAGAGAAGTAATTTTTATCAAGTCAAAAGCTAGACATTTTTAATGTTATCGAATAGTGGACTTGGATATATGCTTTAGGGTTGAAAACATATTTTGTAAGTACATAATTGTCAAACATTATAATCATATAAATGGGTTGCCAATATAGATCTACTTCACCTCAGCTGGCTATTACCCTGACATCTGTGGCATATGCTCTGAAAGGTTTCAATCTACTTGATGCTTAAACAAATAATAAGCTGATCTGAGGCTGTGACAGACTGTGACCTTTTTGTGATTTTATTTTTCTTTCAGGTAGGTTTGGCTGTGGTGAATGGTCAGCTGATGGCCATCGGAGGTTTTGATGGGACTACCTACCTGAAGACAGTAGAGATATTCGACCCAGAACAGAACTGCTGGAGGATTGTGGGCAGCATGAACTACAGACGCTTGGGGGGCGGTGTGGGTGTTGTCAAACTGCCTCACAATGACACTCACCTCTGGTGACCTTTGGTTTTCCCCTCCCAGTCAACCTCAATGTTTCTCTCCCCTGTTACCCTATATAGTTATTGCCCCCTTCACCAATGTACAGAAAACTCCACATTGCAATGTATAACATGCAACACATTGGGTTCAGTCTTACTGTAATTAAATTAAAACTCCTAGCCCAATTCCTTATGTTTATTTTTTTAAAGTGTGCAGTCATAGGACTATGTGCAATGCAGCAGAGCTTGTAGAGGTACTTGTTATTTGTGTTGTTGGTAGAAGAGAAAAGGACTTTCTATTCTGATGGGGACTCACAATTTCAACAGAAATCTTTTTTTTTTTGTACATACTTTTTTTTGTTTTGTTTTAATGTCAAACTTGTTTAAAAGCTTGATGAGTGTAGGCATCAGATTATTTATAAATACAACTCAAGAAATCTGTATAAAAAATGTATTTACAACAATTCTTAGTTCAGTAAAGTTCCCCTTTCAGACCTTGCGCTCTGTGTCCCACCATTAGCGAGGGTGTCATGTGGCCAGCACAACAACCATCTGCCTTTACTTTTCTGCAACTAATATCAGGTACCCATTAGAGCTGGGTGCACTGAGAGATGCACTAAAGATACAGAAATTAAAAAATCCCAGGATTCGAACCAGGAACCCTTTGGTTTGGAACCAAGCTCTTTACCATTCAGCCAGCCACTGTGCCTCCATTATAACTCTTAACTAGTATGTTTTCTGTAAGAAAAACTCTTACATCAGATTTTACAGGGGATTCCTCATCTTGTAGGCAGTATCTTTGTATTGAAGCAGGGCATTTTGGCATAATGGTCATTTTGGCACAGGATGTTTTGGTGTGAGATGTTTTAAGTCACATTCTACCTGTTCATATTACTTTGTCTTTTAAAAGAATAAAAAATATCTTTGTTTTGTATTCTAAAGAGTCTTTTTTTTTGTGTTAAGATCAATAGGTATTTTGTTCATTTGATTTAGGATTTAGGTTTGTTGTGTAATTATAGTTATGTCACTAACATTAGAATGTATGTATAGGTTTTAATATTGATGAAAACAAAATGAAAAGTGATAAATAAACATTGATGCAATTTGTAGTGCACATGCAAATCGTTTATTTAATTTATATTACCTCCAAGTTTTAAAAAAGAAAGAAAACTGATGAATGTCAACCTGTGTGTTTTGAACAGCTCACCTAAAATTAATGAGGGTTAGCAGGTCAATACCATTGCTCAGGTAGGAATCTGACCTTTCATAGTTTCTATAGAAGTTTGCATTATGCATTCATGAAATATGTCAAAATTATTGAAACTTTTTTGGGAGTGGGGGATATGGTTAGTATTTATACTGTTGTATAGTTTAGCGAAAAAAACATTTTTTGTTATAAAAATTTTGTAAATTATCAAAATCTCTCATACCATAATGTCTGTGCCAAAATGTCACCATATTCTATTGTATAACTCTACCTCCTACATAAACTCCATAGATCGTACTTGAAGTCAAGTACTGCATGAGAATAAGCACTGATTGTGATCATTAATGATTTCAAATTGACACTTTTTAAATGGCAACATGTAACTAGTCTTCTTATTTTTATTCAGTTTATCTATCAAAAAGCTTTTTCTATCACAAAAACTGCTTTTTCTATTGAATCCTTATGAAAACATCTCCAGGACATAGGTTTTTAAGAGATATCTTGAGAATAGTGCTAGGTTTTTAAGAGATATCTTGAGAAAAGTGATAGGTTTTTAAGAGTTTCCTGAGAATAGTGCTAGGTTTCTAAGAGTTATCTTGAGAATAGTGCCAGGTTTTTAAGAGTTATCTTGAGGATAGTGCTTGGTTTTTAAGAGTTATCTTGAGGATAGTGGTGTTGGGTCAGAGTTAATTATAAAGTTTGGGTTCGGCGGGAAGTTGACTTTTGATAATGAGCATCTGGAAAAGATCTCACATGTTAATAGAAGTGGCCACGCAGGTCAAGGATGGGAGAGAACTGCTTGTCTATTGGGTTGTTGTCATGTTTGTGATTTTTAGTTTTTTAGTATGGACCTGTGTGACTGAATCGTTACAGTCACTATCACATATTAGTCATAAGTGTCCCCCAAGTATTTACCTGTTAGCTTTAAATTAGCATGTCTCAACCTGGTCCCTGAAGCCCACCAGTATATTAGAGATGCTTTGTGTGTGTGTGTGTGTGTGTGATACACGAGCATACATTGAGATCATGTGACTAGATATGTCAGGGTGATATGACATAAATGTAGATATGTAAATGACAAAAAAAAAATTGTTTGTGCTTTTAATGTCTGGGAACATATTTGTATGAGTGTGAACATCGCCCAAGAACTGGAACCAGACCTATTGGTACAATAAATAAAGTGAAAAAAGTGATTTCTAAGTTTTCTCTTGATTTAAAAGTTTAATTTAAAACTTTGACATGTTAAAATGAAAGTGTTATATCATTATTTGCTTCATAAAATTATTCTGATAATCCACTATTTTGAAGAGCTTACCTTAGCCTAGTGCCTAAAGTGGCATGTTTTCTTATTTCTGATTATCTTTCTTGAATATAATTTTCCTTCTCTACCACCTTTCACCTGATCTACATTGATTAGAGAAAAAAAAAAAGCAAGCACTTGATTTTTTTTTACAAAGCAATTATCAACTCACTCTGTCTGGTAAAAAATTTGATAACGTTATTTTTCCGACACCCAATCTGGGATCAAGCTGAAATTTTGCACAATTATTTCTTTTACCCGACAACACAAGAATCAATTTAAAAGATTTATCAAGTAGTTAATTAACTATTTGTAATGAATTATGTTGTTGGATATCTCGAACAAGGGAAAGAAACTGGTGAAAGCTGAATTAGTCCCCTTTATAGGTCGCCTCTTTAAAGTAAGTTTGTAACAAACAATAGATAACTATATCTTCTATTTTCATAGGCACATCACTAGCAGAGGGGTCAGTATATCAGCTTGAGAAGGCTTGAGCCATGAGGTTGAAAGATAAAAGCGTGACATTGCGTTTAACAAAAACAATTGGGCATTTGAGTGATCGCTTTTTAAATGTATTTAAGAGAAAAGTGAATGACCTGAACTCGAACTCGTGGGCTAAAGCCTTCTCAGGATTCTCAAGCTAAGGCAGTAAACCAATCTATTAGCGAAGAGTCTATGAAATAGAAACTTGTATGTGTTCACTAAGCCTCAGACGACAACCTATTATAAAGGGACTAATTCAGCTTATACGACCACTTCAGTCAAGTACAATTTCTTTCCCATGTTTGAGATAACAAACGAAATAATCTATATTTTTCGTTATTGATTCTTGTGCTGTCAGGTAGAAGAAATAACTGCAACATTTCATCTTGATCCGAGATAGGGTGTGGGAGAAATAACGTGTACAAACATTTTGGTCAGAAAGACAGAGTGAGTTGATAAAAAACATTGCCGCGCACGCGACAATGTCCATAGCGCAAAGTCCCCAGAGCTTACAAAAAACCGTCTTTCATGGAATAGTACCTACGAAAAAGAAGAAGAGGTAGAAAAAGAATACAATATCATAGAGTGTACAGGACTGTCACTGGAAGAGCTCATACGTAAGGCAAAAAAACAGAGGAATGGAGAAAGAA